CCGTGTAACATCACCTATAAAAAACTCTTCCACAAATTTGTGATATATCAAGTTTACCGATGGTATACCAACATGATAGTTGCAAGCATTTGACGCATTGTTAATTAACCAGTTTAGCTGTCTGATCAAACCTTAGCTACTGGCACAGCTAAATAATTCACCAAAAAAACAGAAACACGAGAAGTCGCGTAGTTCTAGGTTCAAAATTCAGTCTATGATTATTTTGAAATTTACTCTACGCACTTTTTTAAAAAAAGATGACCACGTGACATGTCACGTGAAACATGTCACAGATCTAGTATACATTGAGGAAAAGACTGGTCCCGTTCGTGGTAATCTACCTGAAGAAATTATATCAGGCGTTTCAAATTTTCCCAATAAAACATAAACCCAGACCTTGAACTGCTTTAGAGGCCCGGAACTTTCACACCATACGAGCATTCTCTTATTTTTATTCAAACTTAGTGGAAAGTCAGTTAACGCGCGCGAGTGGCAAGCTCGGTTATTTCCGTTTCTCGCGTCTTTCGCTTAACGGACTAAGAAAAAAAGAGAGGCCGCTCGTTCTACACCATCCTTAGAACCTATGATGTGAGAATCTTTTGTCAAAGCCCAGAAGAAATAAACACTGTGAAATGAAGAAAGCGCACACATTATTACTGAACATACCTGACTGGATGTTTGAATTGTAGGTTTTGTAGGTTATTTCCTTGGCCGTTATCCTGCTGTCCGTAAGACTAACAAAAAAAGGAGAAAAGGGAAAAGGTCTTCAGCGTTGCACGAAATAGGTCATCGGGTACGATAAGTAAAAAGGTTTCTATTCCCTTGAAAGGTTTGCACTTGGCCTCATTTTGTAAGTAAGCAATTCGGGCCTACTTTGTTTACTCCCTGTAAGGCGTATTCCCAGGCCTTCTCGGTCAATTCACTTCGGTGGCGTATCTGAGGCGAACGAACCACGTGACCCGAAACGCATTGGCTACGCGGAATAATGAGGCCTAAGGACTGGGCGCGGGCAAGGGCCCACTTACATGACGGCAAAGAAATGTACAAAAGGTGTGATGCATGTGCACTGTTGTTACATGGTAACCAGCGCTCTTTGTATCTTTTGACCCAAAGGAATCATGGGATAATTAGAGAAACGCAATTTTTACTTTGGCAAAAAACAAACACACGAAAACTGTTCATGATGCCAGGACCTTACAGTAACGATCTTCGGTGGCACACCATTTGTCCAGTTGCTCTTTGAGATCCTCTACCCTGGCGAAACGCGAAACATTACGCAGTTTCGCACCCTATTTAGCTCCACACTATGGTTGTTTACCTTTTAAGTTTCCGGAAAATGCAGTTGGAAAGTAAAAACACTTTTTGGGTCGTTCCAGCGGAAGATTTCCGGGAGCAACAGAACATCTGAAAAGGTAGTCCTGTTTTCCCGGACGGAATGTTCCAAACGGAAATTCGTGTTGATACCAGTTTGAGGTATATTTTTCGCGCCATTTTTCGGTAAATGGAATCGATTTGTCGAGATTTGTACAAATGGTAAAAGCGATTCCTGGGCGAAATTTAGTTGCTGAGAGGGAAGACTCGAAGGTTTCAAGATTTCATTGTGGATTCTTAATACAACGAAGCTCGTCGAATACCGTACCGAACAGCTAAGAAACGCCACGCTTTTCATCATTGTTGTAGATAGTTGCATCATCATTCATGATTCACGAGGTTGTCACGTGCGATTCTACTTAATGAAACAGTCTCTAACTGTGACGACTTGATTCTAAAAGCGCTATAAGTTATTTAACAATTTTAAATTAAAATGAATGAGCTTGTTTACAGGATTAACAATACTCGCCTCGCCTTTCAAACTTCTAAAACCACAATTTATAGGCCGCATACTCCAGAATTAAAGTCCATATCTAAATCTGGAGAAACTTTGAAAAATATATGATCTTTTACACTCCTGTTTAACCTTGAAGCAGGTGAAACAGAACTCAGAACTTATGAAATACGTGTGTTGTACTGTTCGTGATAACCGAATTAGGTCAGAAATGTCTTGAACCAGGACCCACACTAAAGTATGGACCCCGAAAAAGCTGCATCATTGTACTCAGCAGGGGGCGTAGCTAGGGGGGGTCCTGGGGTGCCGGTGACCCCCCCCCCCCCCCCCCCCCCGGCACCCCTTTTTTCGCAAACGACACCCAACTAACAC